TCAAAACCTATTATGAGTATTATCGTCATATTTTCGCAATTTGTTTAGATGATTACCATACCTCCACACATATCTGTTATGCAGGCTGCGCATACACATGGCAGCAGAAACAAATACAAATGCGTAACGAAAAATACGCTGATATAAGCAAGTTTTAAGAGATTACTGGAATACGCTAGTTCTTCGGATATATAAATGACCCCAATGAGGCAGGTTGCTCCGTAACAAAGCCAGTGCATCACAAACCAAAGACAGTACGCTTCGACAGTATCAGATACGATGACACATAGCTCTTCGTGATATTCAAAGGCGATGTCAAAGTCGTTTGTAGATTCTGCAACATTTTCAACAATTGCTGGGTCTACAACGACTTTGGTTTCGTCCGCATCGTTCTCTACAGGACTACCAGACCCTCCTGCTTGTTCCTTTTCACTCTCTATTCCTTCGCTTTTAGCCTTTGAATCAATTTTTGTGTCGACTACAACCCCTCTTTTGCTCGCTTTGGATGTTGAAGCCTTTTCAACACCATCAGTTCCATAGTCTGCTCTCGCTTGTTTCTTTTCTTTCCCTATTTCTTTTACCCTCCTCACAGTATCGTTCGCCAACGTTCCTGCGGAACAAAAGTTGAATTCATCAACACCCACACCCTTTCTTTTCGTCAAGTATACTACGAATCTTGCCTACATGTCAAATGTATAGCCGTTTGATATCGATGTGAAGGATGAAGTCCAAGTGACCCAATTAACTTCGTACCTAGAGTTTTTCTCTATAAAGGAACCCTAGGTACGAGTTAACAAGAGATTTGTCGAGGGCATTGAACTGTAAACAACTACTGGACTGACGAAACTCGGGGGGGGGGAATTGAAGCTTCAAACTGAATAGGGATGTTTGTCAGAAGTTATCGTTCCAGTTGCACAGAGTTCACTGGTCGAGGCTACTCAATTTACAGGGAGATTTACAGGGGAGTCTTTATAGGGAGATTTAGCACGAGGACGTGAACGTCAAAGACGGCGAGAAAATGGCGAGTAAATGGCGTGGCATGTCCATATTTGGGCGCATCACGCCATTTTTTCGCCATTTTCACGTCGTCTTTAACGTTCACGTCTGTTCACGTCATCACGTCCTCGTGCTAAATCGCCCTTTTGTGTCCCAGGGCCTTTATTAAGGAACTTCGAAAACTGGCGGAACGAACTGAATTCTTCTTCTTTTATAATAGTATCTTTTAAAAAGGAGATTTTAAAAAGAATTCATATTTTGATAGTTATAGCCTATAGGTATATTTTGATAAATGAAATAAATTGATGGCCAAAAACGATTAACATTTGGCATCCTTGCAGATCGCAATGCCGTATAATAATGCCGGATAATTTATATGAAACATCATTTTACATATATAATGTTGTCTTATCGTCTTTATCTAATTTAAAATCAATTGTTGTGTAAACTATAATAACTGCATGTTTTTCCCGTAGTTCGTGGTCAAAGGTCAGTCGAACGACTCGACGTTCAATAGTCGTTGATATAATTGAAACGTCAATCTAGAGTATTTTTAATTTTAACATGAAACCTCAAACCGTTAAATTCAAACAGCAGATTGCGGATTGAAAGTTTAACATCAATCAATAAATTGAAAGAAACGTTTTCGGAGAAAGCAAAGAATAATTCCGGCAGAATAAGAATAAGTGCAGAGCAAAAAAGAGGGGGCCATCTCCCTTCCCCCAGCAAATCTGCCAAAAGGCCCTGCATTATTACATCCTACCTAAAGCAAGCGATGCAATAGCAAATGCATGACATCCAACAATAGCTGCCCATTGCGCCATGAACTGTGCTGCTACACCAAAGATCATCAAATAGTAATACCATCCGTCCCTGGGCTGTGTCCGTGTTAAATAGTAAAACATCACTACGGCAGATACGAACAATGACGCTAATGTAATCTGAGAGAGGAAAATATATTTCACTTGAGTGTTGGACAAATCATCAAATAAAGCGTCTGACGGGCTGATTGCTTGTCCGTTGCCTTGCCGTTGTCTGCGATACATGAGCAATAGCGATTTTAATAGCAACGTATACGAAAACGATCCACCAATAGACGCTAGAGTGTATACGGCATTCGATGTCTTTCGATCTGGGGCACCAAGGCTTGCGTTGCTGGATCTGTCGCCTTTAAGTTTCTTTTCAAGAAATCCACAGTCAAAACCTGGGCAACCGCATACCACAACCAAGTCGTAAACGAGTTGAAATATACAAATGGACGCTAGGAGGATACCCAGAATCAAGCCCCATCTAGATGGCTTGTACAAGCACAGTGTCGCACAAATATGTTTTAGAATTTGCTTGAGTAGTTCATGATTTTGATAATCTTCGGCTTTACGTCCACGCCGAAATTCGTTTTGCAGAACATTTAAAACAGGTCTTTCTTCATCGTTATTTGAGCAGCAACCCATTCTTGCATTTTATATTAGTGTTGGTATACGCCGGCTGGGTTCAAAGTACGATGATTGGTCTCGTGACAATCAGTTGACTATATGCATGAATGCATGTAATTTCCAGAAAACGCACAGCGTGGCGGATGTTGCGGGCTGCGACTTTGCGGACACTGCGTGCATGCGTCAACAGTTATTTCAAACAGTAATTATATAATAACTACAGTGCATGAAAGACGCAATTTGATTTAGCCGTGCAGGGTCACACAATCCTGCACGAGGAATTTAAAAGCACTCGCTGGATTTTCGCCGGATTCGCAAAATATCGTTGTAAGTTTCACTGTAGTTATTTTATAAAACAATTACCAAATGTTTTTTTCGTACAGGATGCAACTCGTGTTTTTTGACGCTTTCAGAAAGTCTCGCAGTTAACATCCCTCGTACATGGATCACGCAATCCTGCAGGGAAAACCATTTGGTAATCGTATTATTATTATTATTATAAATCATACTGACTTAATTAGCCCAAACGGTATTATTACACCAGTATTACAACAATTGATAAAAGATTAGAATTATAATTAATTACATACAATCAAATCAACTATCAATCCGGATACAATTGTTGTTGGTATTAGTTCTCTGAGTTTTTCATTTTTAATGTGTGTCGTGTTTCATTTCATCGCAGCGATCCCTCAACGACATGATATTCGTGGTAATCAATGCTTCGTCATACTTATGTGTGGGAAGGATAATTTTAAAAGCGTGTTGGATGAATTCAATGTCATCATGATCACTTAAATGCTGTTGAATATTATAATGCAAGATCTGGGACGCGTATTCCATGCAGAACAGGTCTAATTATGGTATAATATAAAGAGTAATCAAATAAATCAATGTACTTGTGCTCGCTTTAGACTTTTTCAACAATCTTAATAATTTTATATAGAGCCTTTTATTTGCTTTTTTACCATATTATGGATATGTCCGTTCCACTTCAAGTTATCTTGAACAGTAAGGCCAAGAATGCGAGCAGATTTCACACGTTCAATATAAACTTCCTTAACTGCTAGAGGAACAAAGCGATACTTTTCTCTTGTAAAATTGATGACAAGCTCTTTAGATTTTCCGATGTTCAATTTCAAATTCTTATTACTCGTAATCCAACGGACCTTTTGCATAATAGACCAACTTTTGATTTAGTTCCCTGAGGTACTCAACCATTGAGGGTTTGCCATTCCGACACAGAGTAGGGTACCTGACCCGTTGGAAGCGCTTTCTAAGAAAATCTCGTATCCAGGGGCCGGTTGTTCAAAAGCCGGTTTAAGCTAATCCAGGGTTAAAATGCCTAACTCAGGGTTAAATTTTAAACCTCGGTTGATTTTCGTTGCACAAAGCTCGGTTAGCGTTAACCCTGAGTTAAAATTGATAAAAAAATTAACGCTGCTAGCTAGGTGGGTTAACTTTTTAATCCTGCATGCATGGCCATGGGTTAACTTCAATTCAAAAATAGATGAATAAGGAGCGGAAACACGTACAATTCTTCATGAATTAAGCACTTTTGAAAGGTTTTACGAAGAGTTTCGGACAGCAAAGAATTATCTAAGTTTGACTTTGTTCGGTTTAAAATGATGTATTGATTTATTTATTTTCACTTCAATGCAATACATGATAAATAAATACAACCGTACAAATTGAGACAATGTAATCGAAATATTGTATCGGATGATGATCACATGCATGGCACGGTATGGTACAGGTTAGACCAGTTATAACTCGTATAATGCAGCTTTAGCACCTGCGTTGCTGCATGCATGGTCTCATCTTTATTTTCTTATATTCATTCGCAGATTTGCATTTTTTATATAATTTGGCAATACATGCATATACGACAGAATTGTGGTCACTATGACCTATGGGTGCAATCACTTTGGGAAAATCGCATGCTTCTGACATATTAGCAGCTTGTGGCTGGCATATTAGCAGTTTCGGGTGCTTCACGATTTGTTTTAGGGTAAAATGAAATCCCAGAGTAAGAATATACCAGCATTTGGGTACTTGAGGGCAAGATCGAGTGATGTAGACAGTCGGGTCGGATGCTCAATAAAAGCGTCATTATTGCTGGTTTATAAACGACACAGACGATCAAACAAAAAAAATTCTCGGTAAGGTTTAGGCCTGGCATAAATTCATAAAGTTTCCAAGTTGATATCATTAAATTCTGTCACTCTGTTAAATGGATATTAGATTTTAAAAAAAAAAGCAAAATACGCCGCCTATAGTTTGTCAACTCGGTCACATCTTATATACTAATAAAAACTGAACCGTCGATACAGACAGCTGCGTCGTTGATTTTCTCATTTGACTAGGTTTCAGTTATGCAGGCTATTCTCACTACATATTGCTCATGGGGTCATAAAAAAACGCAACTAGGACTAGGTACATAACTAAAATTTATGATAATCGCCGACTTTTCGCCGGATTAAGGCTTGTAAGCGTATTCCATATAACTAAATTGAATGTGGACAAAACAAGAATGAATTGACCTTTATTCATTTAACATGTCGGGACTTTCTGTTCTCAATTTAATTTTTTTTATATTTTATAAAATAGAATTAGATACATCGCAAACCTTTCCGCACGCGGCGAAAGTTTCTCAGATTATACACATGCTTCATATTGTCCAAGGTTTCATCTGTTATTGTCGTGATATCCATTGTTAGGCTTGTAAATATATTGTTTTCAATGTTTTGCTTGTCCGAACTTTTTCCGCGCTCCAAATTAGGCAATCAAATCTTTCCACGCAAAACTCACGCACCGCGTGCGGAAAGGTCTAATAATTTTTACATTTGGTAAAATATATAGAAAGCTTTTAACGATTATACGTTAATACATTCGTAAAAATTAATCTTAAAAATTCGTTTTCTTGAAACATGCAGGCCACACATGGCCAGTATTAAAGAGTGCTCTATTTGAGCTAAAACATTTTACTGTAAATTTACGGTTGTTTTTTTAATCAATGAAGGTTCCCTCATGTCAAGACTCAAGGACAAGGTGGCTATACAATTTAGCAAGTTTACGGTTCGGATTTGAAACGAGAGATTACTGACCAGTTATTCTAAATTAGAATAACTGGTCGCATGGGTACATAAGTTTTCAACATCCAATTGATTTTAAAATAGTTCTCTTCATGCATATATGCAGAAAAAATTATGGTAGAATTACGGTTACTGTGAAATATAGGAGCACCGTCCATGCAGGTTGAATCTGCTAGTTGAAATAGTTGGCGCGTGTAATGCATGTGGCGAGTGCTTAACTTGCAGGGGGACTTATTCGTACTGGTGGTTGTCGTTGCCTCGTTGGCATGTAGCCTCAAAGAATATCAATGCGTCTCAATGGCGCATTGAACTATAGTTGTATACAACATATCAGGACAAGAGTGAGACGAAAAACTGAAGTCATGAGCAGAGAACTGACGTAGTAATAAACGTTATAGACTTTTTCGAAAATTCCCGGATTCGATTCGTTCCAAAATAAAGCTTTAAGTGGGCCAGAGCATTAATTTACTACATGATTTTGACTAAATAAAATTATGAAATCGTCCGCTATTTCTTTCCCTGGTAATGGGCTTTAATTGTGACTATAGTGTAAGGCTATATAGTGTACACATTCACAAACAACTTAACTAAAGAAATGGAAGAGGATTCCAGTCGATCCAAGGAGAAGTGAAATCCATGCCAGTGTCGGCGTGAATGTTAGCCTACCGACTTTAAAAACACACTGTCTGTCTTTCGCATAGGTTGTAAACATTATCAATTTGGCACGGTCCCTAAATGGATGATCTTCGTGCCAGTCTTTAAATGTAGTTCCATTGACACGGGCAGCGATTCCTGATAAGATTTATAAAATATGATAATTATTTACAAGTCAGTTCAGGGTTATGTATTTATTACTGCATAGATGAAGTATTTCAAATTCTATATGATCAGATGTCAATTTGAATTTGATTTAAAGGTTTGATCTAAATTTGATTTAAAAAAAACACTTTTAAAACCCTTTGGAGTGTCAAGAAGCGAAAAAGCATATTTTTGAGCAAATATTTGCGATAAAAAGTTTTTCCGTCCGATAACATCTATCCAAGACTTTAAGTTTAATATATGTTAGGGGCTGTTTACATGAGCCCGGTTACCCGAGATTCAACGAAGCGTGAGAGGACTTTGAGGTATTGAAACGAGCAGATAACACGATCCTGGCAGTCGTATAATCACCACAACAATAGCATGTGCTTGTTTGGTGTCATAAAGACTTATTTCAATACCTCAAAGTCCTCTCACGCTTCGTCGAATCTCGGGTAACCGGGCTCATGTAAACAGCCCCTTACAAGTAGTTGCACTAACTAAAGTTTGTAAATCCATTTAGGGAAAAAGCCTTGTAGACTGATCCAGGCGATTATTTGAATTTATTTTAAAAGGTTCCGGATTGATGAAGTATATTTTATACACGACAAGTCCGTGGATCGGCAGCTTCTTTGATGTAAATGTATATGTATAATTATGGTTACCATACCTCCACACGTATCTGTTATGTAGGTCGCGCATATACATGGCAACATCAACAAATACAAAACCCATACGAGCGCTACAGTGGTGGAAACAAGTTGTAGGGGATTTCTGAAGAAACTTAGTTCTAATTCAGATATAAAGATGATCTCAATTAGGAAGGTTGCTCCGTAACAAAGCCAGTGCATCACGAACCATGGACAGTATGCTGAAACAGTCCCAGATACGATGGCGCAGAGTTCTTCATGATATTCAAAAGCGATATCAAGGTCATTTGTACAACGTACGACATTCTTAGCACTTGGGCCACTTTCCGGGTCTCCTTTTTCCCCAACTTTTTTTGCATTAGATATTGAAGTATTTTTACTTGTAGTTCCGTAGTTCTCCCTCCCTTTTTTCTTCTTTTTCCCTATTTCTTTTATCCTCCTTACGGTATCGTTTGCCAAAGTCCCTATTACACAGAAAATGAAAAAATTACATTTGGTTTCTTCTCTCCCCGTATGTGCTTAGGTTCGAAGTGAAACCAAAAATTTCCCTATGTTCTCTAAGGAATTCGTAGTGATTTGTAAGTGCCCCTTCTCACATGAATAAAAGCAAACAGTAGTGACTGTTGAGACTCGAAATTAAGAAATTCCCTATTTCATGTATTCTCCATTATTTATTTACTTATTTATCTATTTATTTACTTATTTATTTATTTTTTTATTTACTTATTTATCTACTTATTTATTTACTTATTTATTTATTTATTATTTGATCGGAATTTTGCGATCGCTTCCTTTAAATGCAAACAATGAAGCGGAACAAATCTCATTAAGACTTGTTTTTAGGTTTCGCGATTATTATTACTCCGCCTGCGTATGCGCAGCGGAGTCTTAGAATGCCATGGTCTTTTCTCCTTTTAGTCAGTCGTAGTTTTGGGCGACAGAAGTTGGCATTTCTACAGGTAACCCAAAACAACTTCATTTTTGACCGAGAAGCCCTGGGTTACACGGACCACGGACGAATTATGTACATCAGTTGGCATGCAAGCGGAGTGAACGCCTTGAGCAGGCGTCTTGTTATTACTCGGGCTACCATAGTAGACCGAGTTGTAAAATGGGCTCGGTTTTTTCTTTTGCGTCGCGAGTTTACAAAAATCGCGCTAAGGCGGCACGAAGTCTTCGAACAAAACGAAATCGTCCTAGGATCGTTTCTCGCGTGGGTGTCACGAACATGCCATGTGCTGCAGCCATGTGACTGTTGTTTATACAACGAACCCAGCCTCGTTTCCAGGCGCTTTAAATAAAATAAAATATAGGAACACTACAGGCGTCTTGTTATACATAATCTCATTATTTGTCGTCAGGGACGCCGGAACAGGGGGGCAGCAGGGGCAACTGCCCCCCTTGCCTTTTACCAGCAAGGGCAAGGGGGAAAAAATGCCCTTAGTAGCAGTGTCACAAACGAGCATGAAGAATAACACAATCGTCTAGACAAAGAAATTATCTTGGAAAGAGAAAACACGACGATACGAAGTTCAACTGACGATGTTTTGCAAACACTTATTAATGCGCCGCTACAGGAGTACCCTTTCACCAAAATCTGCCCCTTTGCCCTCGCATCGTTCCGGCGTCCCTGTTTGTCGTAATCCACAGGTCGTAATTCGTTGTAATTTGTTGTTATGTGAACTGATATATCAAAACCGAATTACAACAAAGTACGACATGGGAAATACGACGGATTAAGTTACACGAAAACCATCCTTCAGATGAACTTGACTGAACAAATTTCTAAAGAAAGCGCGCAAAAAAATAATAACGCAATTTTTTGCATTCAATTGCATGCCATGAATTACCTGTTTCTACGACTATATGCGAATAATAAATATCCGCGCTACATCGTTTACATAATAATGTAATATGCGGCGAGTCATGAAAGATTAAATAAATAAATAGTCTTGTGAAGATTTTTAAGGTAATTTACCCCCAATTGTTGCGTTCGACGAAGGAGAACGCTTCCTAGCCGTGTCATATCGAGATTTGCAATGTCAGATTTGCCTCGTTCTGATGTGTCGTCATAGTAACTGGAGACTATGTGCTAGCTTTATTTTGACATTTTACATCCTCGTCCCCAGGGCCTAGCTCCGTTGCTCTCCACATAGGCCCTGGGGACGAGGATGAACATTTTATTGTTAACAAGACGCCTGTTCTGGCGTTAACTCCGGCGCACGTGCCAGTCTTCAATATAGAGCTTCTGAACATAAACATACAGTTCATATTCGCATTTAGATGCCTTGCGAACCTAAATGTTCGATCGCGAAATTCAGAAGCACATCGTACTTTAAAAAGTATAGAAGTTAAATCGTTCAAAAATGTAAATAAACGGCATGATACATTTGCGTTGTCTTACACTTTGCCTTTGGAATTCGCGCTTATATAGTTATATTAAATCTTCAATCCTATGCAAACTACGACGAGTCAAAGCGCCCATACACGACCACATCATTTTGTTAAACGGCGAAATAGCAGCGATATTACTAAAATAGGACCAGAATGTACATGTATTAAATATATTCTTACCCCAATTCAATCTAAACCTTATCGAAAAGCATGAAAAGAACGGTTTATTTGTTCCTCTTGGAGGAATTGCCGTATCATTGTACACTGCCCCGCTTGCAGATGTGGCTAGGCGTCATGATCTCCGTTTTCACTTTTTTGCTGATGATGGACAACTTTACATTGCATTCAAAACAAATGATCCTGGTGAATTGATTTCATCTAAGATTCGTATGGAAAAATGTATATTTGAAATTAGAAACTGGTTGATGCTGAATAAATTGAAACTAAATAGTGAAAAAACAGAACTTATATTAGTCCATTCACGCTATCGCCCTATGCCTCCCTTGAATTATATCATGGTGGGTGATGACAGAATTGTACCAACTGGTTCAGCTAGAAATTTGGGGGTTATTTTTGATGAGTTCTTTAAATTGGAGGAACATATTAATCTGCAAGTCATCTTTTTATAATATCAGAAACATTTCAAGAATAAAGAAGTATTTGTCTCGGGACTGTCTTGAAATAATCATTCATGCTTTTATAACTTCAAGATTGGATTACTGTAACTCACTGCTATATGGTGTATCAAAATATTTACTCCAGAGGCTACAGAGAGTCCAAAATACTGCAGCACGTCTATTAACTGGTACTAGGAAATCGGAACATATTACACCAGTACTTATTGAATTGCATTGGCTACCAGTCCAATATCGTGTCCAATTCAAAATTATCCTTCATGTGTATAAGGCTATGAACGACCTTGCTCCACCGTATTTGAAGGAACTCTTGCATTATCATACTTCGCAGCGTTCACTTCGATCAAATAACTGTGAATTGCTCCAGATTCTTTGCAGTTCTAGACTGAAGACCTTTCGGGATAGATCATTTTGTGTCGCGGGACCACGATTGTGGAACGAATTACCCATTAATCTTCGGATGTGCAAATCAATTACTGTTTTTAAAAAAAATCTTAAAACATATCTTTTTAACTTATTTTTGACATTATTATTATTAGGTTTGTTAATGATTTAGATATTTTAATAGTTTTAATATTAGATTTTACTGTAAAGCGCCTAGAACAGAACACAATTTGGTTGTGCGCTATAGAAATACTTTTATTATTATTATTATTATTATCATGCGAGCGAAATCGAATCGCGCAACGCAAAATTAGCCAACGCTGTGCACCACAACTCTTGGGAGACAAGACTGGGACATAGATAAATCCAATCACATACACATTATATACTAGTATATTTTGCGCCATTTCAGACTTGCGACGACGAAAAATAATAAAAAACAAAACAAAACCGAGGCGAATTTTCAATTGCGTCGCTGACGCCGGAGTAACAAGATGCCCGCTAGGCATTACTAAACTCGCATTGCTTGAGTCGAGCTAGGGCTATGACAAAAAAGAGGCTTACTCAGGCGTGTGTTTGGGCTTGCCATAGTTGTTCAGCTATGCAACGGAACGTAACGGGGGTGAAAATGGGGAGAGCATTGGACAAATTTAATTGCGCTGTGAAGTTAGTCTTGTTGCACAGTGGAGTAAGTCTTGTTCAGATATTCGTAGCACGTCATGGCACAGTTCATTGACAACGTCGTTGTATTGTTTTCAATTGATAGTACTAGTGAGAACTCGTGAGATTGATTTGAGATTGTATTCAGTTTGATCAGAGAATTCACAGCGATATTAAGCAACTTTGGTTCAACATGAAGTTGAAAAGCATGAGAGCAACAGAACACCCCTTTTCGAAAACGCTCGGCATCTTTTAGTGTAGGCTACTGTGCTCGGCGTGTTCAGTTGTATGTAAGGTGAGCGTTAAGATAAATATGACACTTGGAAGCCACATTTCGAAATATCTTGAATTTTTATCGTCTTTTGTCCACAAGAAAACGATGAACGTCATGAACGAATGCACTCAGCAGTGCAGCATGCTCGTTAGCTTAGCAGCCACGCCTGCGTAGCTCGTGGCCTGCAGGTCAGCGCACCTTATCGCACCTTGCGGGTCGCGAAATTCTCGACCATAAAAATATTAATAAGAACGCTTCCCATTTTAAGAACTCGCTTGCGCATTGCGCAATGCGAGTTAATTAAAGCATATGAGCCATCACTGTTGCTAAATTACTCATTTTGCAGATAACCTTTCAATGACGTACGATGTGACGTTATAATGTTAACATTTTTGTTAATGATCGGTAACCGAAATCAACACATTCCGAACGCACATCACTAATCTGTGATTACAACTAGTTTACACTATATGTTTAAACCCACCTAATGCGAGGCACGGAATAGCAAACGCTTGGCATCCAGTAACAGCTGCCGATTGCGCTACGAACATCAAAGTTCCACCAAAGAATAACCAATAAGGATGCCAGCCTCCTGACATGGGCTGCGTGGTTATTTGAAAATATACAATCACTACGGAAGATAGGAAACATACTATCATTGCAGTTTGAGAAAGGAAAATATATTTAACTTGTGTGTTTGATAAATCATTAAATAGAGCATCTGACGGGCTAATTGCTTTTTGCTTTCCTTGTCGTTTTCTGCGATGCATTATCAATAATGATATCAGTAAGAGGTTATACGAAAACAATCCACTAATCGACAACAGAGCGCGTAAGGTATTCGATGCCTTTTCAAATGAAGCACCATAGGTTTCGTTGAAGAGTCTCTCAACCAGTTTCTCTGGTGATCCACAGTGAAAATTCGGGCAGCCTCTCGCCACAGCCAAGACGTAAACGACTTGAAATATGCAGCTCAATGCCACGAAGACACTCACAATCAAGCCCCATCCAAAAGGTTTGTACAAGCACAGTGTCGCACAAATATGTTTAAGAATTTGTTTGAATACTTTATGATTTTGGAAATCTTCGGCTTTACGTCCACGCCGAAATTCGTCTTGCAGGACATTTAAAACAGGTCTTTCTTCATCGTTATTTGAGCAGCAACCCATTGTGTGTTTATAAAATGAGGAAATAAAAACAATGCGTAAATAATGATCAGTCTCAGTCTCGTGATAGTCAGTTGGGTATATGACTTCCTAGTAAATAAACGCATGGCGTGTGTTTCCGATCGCGGATCTGCGGAAATTGTGCTCTTCGTACTTGTGTCCGTCATTGCATGCAGGCAGCATTACATGTGCATTTTATGTCTGTTAAAGTGCTGACATGCATGGGACACCTGCCCAATTAAACGCACCTCGCTGTATCATTTGGTCCGCAGTTTACTGTATAGTACTATAATTGTATGTGTATATACAAAATAAACAATTATTGGATCGAAGGCTGAGCATGATATCAAGCAATATTCAGACGTCTGAGTCAATGTTATATGCATGCCGAAGGAAAACTTAGGCGAGTAACACTGGCCGAGATCAAAAAATTTCTTTATCATCGCAAAACGTCCTAGAGAATCCCATAATTGTTTTACACCGGCCGAAAGGTTCCTTTGTTCCTTTAACTGTTAGAGGAACAAAGTGATATACTTTTCTCTTGTAAAATTGATGACAAGCTCTTTAGATTTTCCGACGTTCAATTTCATATTCTTATTACTCGTAGTCCAACGGACCTTTTGCATAATAGACCAACTTTTGATTTAGTTCCCTGAGGTACTCAACCATTGAGGGTTTGCCATTCCGACACACAGTAGGGTACCTGACCCGTTGGAAGCGCTTTCTAAGAAAATCTCGTATCCTGGGGCCGGTTTTCCAAAAGCCGGTTAACGCTAACCCAGGGTTAAAAAGGCCTAACTCAGGGCTAAATTTTAAACCTCGGTTGATTTGCGTTGACCAAAGCTCGGTTAGCGTTAACCCTGGGTTAAAATTGATAAAAAAATTAACCCTGCTAGCTAGGTGGGTTAATTTCTTAATCCTGCATGGGTTAACTTCAATTCAAAAATGAATGAATAAGGAGCGGAAACACGTAAACACGTACAATTCTTCATGAATTAAACACTTTTGAAAGGTTTTACGAACAGTTTCGGACAGCAAAGAAGTTATCTAAGTTTGACTTTGTTCGGTTTAAAATGATGTATTGATTTATTTATCTTCACTTCAATGCAATACATGATAAATAAATACAACCGTACAAATTGAGACATTGTAATCGAAATATTTGTTTCGGATGCCAAAATTCGATTTTCTTGATTGGCAGCAAGTGGTAAAAAAAGGCTACGTTTGTTCCTGAATTAAAGAATGCCTGAATTTTTAAATAGATTGTTTATAATTTGCTCAATTTTATTTCACATTGACATTGTTTATCATACAAAATGGCCTTTCATTTCGAATCTTTCCAAAAAGACTACTCAGTTAGTTGGAAGAAAACGATCTGTGCGTATATGATATGTTGAAAAAGTTCCAGCTTTTAATTGATCACATGCATGGTACGGTATGGTACAGGTTAGACCAGTTATAACTCGTATAATGCAGCTTTAGCACCTGCGTTGCTGCATGGGTCTCATCTTTATTTTCTTATATTCATTCGCAGATTTGCATTTTTTGGCAATACATGCATATACGACAGAAGTGTGGTCACTAAGTCTAAGACCTATGGGTGCAATCATTTTGGGAAAATCGCATGCTTCTGACATATTAGCAGCTTGTGGCTGGCATATTAGCAGTCTCGGGTGCTTTACGATTTGTTTTAGGGTAAAATGAAATCCTCGAGTAAGAATATACCAGCATTTGGGTACTGAGGGCAAGATCGAGTGATGTGGACAGTCGGGTCGGATGCTCAATAAAAGCGTCATTATATATTGCTGGTTTATAAACGACACAGACGATGAAACAAAAAAATTCTCGGTAAAGTTTAGGTTTGGTATAAATTCATAAAGTTTCAAAGTTGATATCATTAAATTCTGTCATTCTGTTAAATGGATATTAGATTTTTAAAAAAAAGCAAAATACGCCGCCTATAGTTTGTCAACTCGGTCACATCTTATATACTAATAAAAACTGAACCGTCGATACAGACAGCTGCGTCGTTGATTTTCTCATTTGACTAGGTTTCAGTTATGCAGGCTATTCTCACTACATATTGCTCATGGGGTCATAAAAAAACGCAACTAGGACTAGGTACATAACTAAAATTTATGATAATCGCCGACTTTTCGCCGGATTAAGGCTTGTAAGCGTATTCCATATAACTAAATTGAATGTGGACAAAACAAGAATGAATTGACCTTTATTCGTTTAACATGTCGGGACTTTCTGTTCTCAATTTAATTTTTTTTATATTTTATAAAATAGAATTAGATACATCGCAAACCTTTCCGCACGCGGCGAAAGTTTCTCAGATTACACACATGCTTCATATTGTCCAAGGTTTCATCTGTTATTGTCGTGATATCCATTGTTAAGCTTGTAAAATATATTGTTTTCAATGTTTTGCTTGTCCGAACTTTTTCCGCGCTCCAAATTAGGCAATCAAATCTTTCCACGCAAAACCCACGCACCGCGTGCGGAAAGGTCTAATAATTTTTACATTTGGTAAAATATATAGAAAGCTCTTAATGATAATACGTTAATACATTCGTAAAAAATTATCTTAAAAATTCATTTTCTTGAAACATGCAGGCCACACATGGCCGGTATTAAAGAGTTTGATGCTCTATTTGAGCTAAAACATTTTACTGTAAATTTACGGTTGTTCTTTAAATCAATGAAGGTTCCCTCATGTCAAGACTCAAGGACAAGGTGGCTACAATTTAGCAAGTTTACGGTTCGGATTTGAAACGACAGATTAGAATGGAATAGTTAGAATGGACTGGTCGCATGGGTACATAAGTTTTCAACATGACAACATCCAATTGATTTTAAAATAGTTCTCTTCATGCATATATGCAGGAAGAATTATGGTAGAATGACGGTTACCGTGAAATATAGGAGCACCGTCCATGCAGGTTGAATCTGCTAGCTGAAATTGTTGGCGCGTGTAAAGCATGTGGCGAGTGCTTAACTTGCAGGGGGACTTATTCGTACTTGTGGTTGTCGTTGCCTCGTTGGCATGTAGCCTCAAAGAAGATCGCGAACGTTGTCTACTAACTGGACGTCATCGGTGACGGCGTCTCAATGATGGCGCATTGAACTATATATAGTTGTATACAACATATAAGGACAAGAGTGAGGGGAAGAACTGAAGTCATGAGCAGAGAACTGACGTAGTAATAAACGTTATAGACTTTTTCGAAAATTCCCAGATTCGATTCGTTCCAAAATAAAGCTTTAAGTGGGCTCGAGCATCAATTTACTACATGATTTTCACTAAATAAAATTATGAAATCGTCCGCTATTTCTTTTCCTGCGTGGTAATGGGCTTTAATTGTGACTACAGTGTATAAGGCTATATAGTGTACACATTCACAAACAACTTACTGACTAAAGAAATGGAAGAGGAGTGCAGTCGATCCAAGGAGAAGTGAAATCCATGCCAGTGTCGGTGTGAATGTTATCCTACCGACTTTAAAAACACACTGTCTGTCTTTCGCATAGGTTGTAAACATTATCAATTTGGCACGGTCCCTAAATGGATGATCTTCGTGCCAGTCTTTAAATGTAGTTCCATTGACACGGGCAGCGATTCCTGATAAGATTTATAAAATATAATAATTATTTACAAGTCAGTTCAGGGTTATGTATTTATTACTGCATAGATGAAGTATTTCAAATTCTGTGATCGGATGACAATTTGAATTTGATTTAAAGGTTTGATCTAAATTTGATTTAAAAAAACCACTTTTAAAAATCCTTTGGAGTGTCAGCAAGCGAAAAAGCATATTTTTGAGCAAATATTTGCGATAAAAAGTTTTTCCGTCCGATAACATCTATCCAAGACTTTAAGTTTAATATATGTTACAAGTAGTTGCACTAACTAAAGTTTGTAAATCCATTTAGGGAAAAAGCCTTGCAGACTGATCTAGGCGATTATTTGAATTTATTTCAAAAGGTTTCCGGATTGATAAAGGATATTATATACACGGCAAGTCCGTGGATCGGCAGCTTCTTTGATGTAAATGTATATGTATAATTATGGTTACCATACCTCCACACGTATCTGTTATGTAGGTCGCGCATATACATGGCAACATGAACAAATAAAAACCCCATACGATCACTAAAGTGGTGGAAACAAGTTGTAGGGGATTTCTGAAGAACCTTAGTTCTAATTCAGATATAAAGATGATCTCAATTAGGAAGGTTGCTCCGTAACAAAGGCAGTGCATCACGAACCATGGACAGTACGCTGAAACAGTCCCAGATACGATGGCGCAGAGTTCTTCATGATATTCAAAAGCGATATCAAGGTCATTTGTACAACGTACGACATTCTTAGCACTTACGCCACTTTCCGGGTTTCCTTTTCCCTCATCTTTTTTTGCATTAGATATTGAAGTATTTTCACTTGTAGTTCCGTAGTTCTCCCTCCCTTTTTTATTCTTTTTCCCTATTTCTTTTATCCTCCTTACGGTATCGTTTGCCAAAGTCCCTATTACACAGAAAACGAAAAAATTACATTTAGTTTCTTCTCTCCCCGTATATACTTAGGTTCGAAGTGAAACCCAAAATTTCCCCATGTTCTCTAAGGAATTCGTAAGTGATTTGTAAGTGCCCCTTCTCACATGAATAAAAGCAAACTGAAGTGACTGTTGAGACTCGAAATAAATTCCCTATTTCATGTATTCTCCATTATTTATTTATTTATTTATTTACTCGTTTATTTATTTACTTATTTATTTATTTATTATTTATTGATCGGCATTTTGCGATCGCTTTCCTTTAAATGCAAACAATGAAGCGGAACAAATCTCCCGAGTTAACGCCTACCGAGCCGAGTTAACGCCTACCGGGCGTCTTGTTAGTTGTTATTATCATAATTCGTCATTATTTGTCGCAATCCACAGGTCGTAATTCGTTGTAATATGTAAACTGATATATGAAAACCGAATTATAAAAAAGTACGACATAGGAAATACGACGGATTAAGTTACACGAAAACCACCCTTCAGATAAACTTGACTGAACAAATTTCTAAAGAAAGCGCGCAAAAAATTAATAACGCAATTTTTTGCATTCAATTGCATGAATTACCTGTTTCTACGACTGTATGCGAATAATAAATATCCGCGCTACATCGTTTACATAATAATGTAATATGCGGCGAGTCATGAAAGATTAAATAAATAAATAGACTTGTGAAGATTTTTAAGGTAATTTACCCCCAATTGTTTACACTATATGTTTAAACCCACCTAATGCGAGGCACGGAATAGCAAACGCTTGGCATCCAATAGCAGCTGCCCATTGCGCTATGAAAATCGACGTTTCACCAAAGAATATCCAATAAGGATGCCAGCCTGCTGACATGGGCTGCGTGGTTATTAGAAAATATAGAATCACTAAGGGAAATAGCAAACATACTATTATTGCAGTTTGAGAAAGGAAAATATATTTAACTTGTGTGTTCGATAAATCATTAAATAAAGCATCTGACGGGCTAATTGCTTTTTGCTTTCCTTGTCGTTTTCTGCGATGCATTATCGATAATGATATCAGTAAGAGGTTATACGAAAACAGTCCACTAATCGACAACAGAGTGTTTAAGATATTCGTTGTCTTTTCAAATAGAGCACCATAGGTTTCGTTGAAGTGTTTCTCAACCAGTTTCTTCTCAAGTGATCCACAGTGAAAATTCGGGCAGCCTCTCGCCACAGCCAAGACGTAAACGACTTGAAATATGCAGATCAGCGCCACGAAGACATTCACAATCAAGCCCCATCCAAAAGGTTTGTACAAGCACAGTGTCGCACAAATATGTTTTAGAATTTGTTTTAATACTTTATGATTTTGGAAATCTTCGGCTTTACGTCCACGCCGAAATTCGTCTTGCAGAACATTTACAACAGGTCTTTCTTCATCGTTATTTGAGCAGCAACCCATTGTGCGTTTACAAAAATGATAGAATAAAAGAATGCGTAAATAATGACCATTCTCAGTCTCGTGATAGTCAGTTGAGTACACTGGTCCGAGTATGACTTCCTGGTAAATAAACGCAAGGAGTGTGTTTCGGATCGCGGACCTGCGGAAATTGTGCTCTTGGTATTTGTGTCCGTCATTGCATGGCAGCATTGCATGTGCATTTTATGTCTGAGCTGATATGCATGGGACATTTAGCTGCCCAAACGCTTAGCTGCATCATTTGCTATATCAAATGTATGTATATATACGAAATAAACAATTATCGGAGGCTGAGCATGATATCAAGCAATATTCAGACGTCTGTGTCAATGTTATATGCCGAAGGATACTACTAAGGCGAGTAACACTGGCCGAGATCAGAAAATTTCTTTATATTGCAAAAAGACCGAGGGAATCCCATAATTGTTTTACACCGGCCGAAAAGACCTGTGTCCTAAATGGACAGAGACGTCACAAAAACGACCTACGTTCATAGACTATGCGGATTTTCTATGACTATGTGAAATCGCACGACGAGTATTTTTACGGCGAGCCTAATATCTACGACGCAGTCGTTTTACTCTATTTTCACGTGCCGGTTCAGGTTTGAGTGTTTGGTTTGCCGCCGGAAGCCTAGACCCGAAAAAGTCCGAAAAAGAGTCCAATAATTTTTGGAAATGACTTAATTTTTTACTGGCACAATTATCAGAAACATGTTAGGTTTCAGCAATTCATTACCAAGTATTAGCGACAAAAAGACTGTCGCTTTTTGTGTACTAAGAGTTTTACTATAAAACATGTACACATTGATTAAATGAAAGTGTAAAACGTTAAATCGTTGCAACCACCGACTTCTTCGATTGATTGCCGACCGCTAGATCAATACATCAGCGGTTTAGGAACGTTTTGGTTACCGAATATTGTGTATTTCAGTCTGGTCGTGCGCGTGCTTGTAGAACGTCTTATTTGGTCCTATGAAAAAAATTATATCAACGGCTACAATAGTTAGCCCGCGTCGACGGACACGAGGTCATATTTTCAGCTTGGCTGGTCGTTTTGCCAACGTGACATCCGTTTACGTCACAAAAACCGAGGTTGTTTACGTCACTGGTGCATCATCGAATCCGTAACGTCACATCCTACTCTTCGCACCGTGCGCATATAGAAATGTGGTGTCTTAAAAATATCGCGTCGATTGTCGAAGTGCACGGACATTTAATTGCTCTGTTGATTGTTTATTCTACAAACCTCCAGATCTCAGACCTAAAATATATAGTATCGTATCCGATTTATTGTCTTTATTCCGACTCCAACGACATTGACTACAACGAGGTCAACAATACAACGAGATTAACAACAAGCCGGAGTCTTGCTGTTCAGTTCTAAACTCCTATACCTTGTCGTGCGTCTCGTGTCGTGAATCCCAACAAAAATAAAAAAACATGCCTCGTGGCAAATTCTCAAGCACAGGGGTGAATCAACAGGAGAAGACCGGGCTTTTTTTAAGGGAGCTTTTTGGGAACACCTTGTATAGGCTTTTCGCAGGATAGAACAGAAGGGCATGTTTTATCCAAACATTTTATGCCGTTTACCGGCAGTTTACCAGCCGGGTCTGTTTCGTAATTTAAATGCTTTGCCGTCCCGACGTGCTAAACATTTAGATGATGGTGATAGATGTTTCAGCCCGTTTCAGTAAAAGTGACACAGTGTCACTGAAAAGTGACACAGGCTTGCTTTGCCTTACAATTTTGTATATAGGAAAAGGGAATGTTGAATGATAGATCTTTATTTCTACATGAAAATCAATAGATGCTATGCCTATATGGCATGCCTATACTGAATAACACACTACTATAAATTTTAAAAATCACTTCATTGCCCGACAAAGTCCATGTTCGGAAGATCCTGTCATGCAAAAACATCGGGAACTACCATGACGTCATTGAAATAATCCATCTTGTCCATGCACAAACCACAAGGTACTAGGTACAAACCCTTGACATTTCAAATAGCTCCTAATTGCATTTACTAGAAGATATGCTGTCAACTGTAAATCGAGTGCGTACCTAGGATTGCGTGATTGAATAGAGATTTATGCATTAACTTGTAACACGCGACATCAGGAATTTGACATGCATTTATGCGCCTGGCTAAAATTAAAAACTATTGAAAGTTCCGAAATACAAAGATCGTTGTGTTTCGGGAACAAAATAGAAATTTCCGGGGTTGCGTTTTTAGCCAAGAAGGAACAAATCGCGATCGAGTAATCTTCGACTACATGCATGAGTGCAATTTTGTCTAACTTTAATGTCTAATTTGGTATTCTTGCACGCAACACTCTTCATGTTGACCGACATGAAGTCGCTCTTGAAAATTTCACCTCTTGTTGCTCTTGGCGTTTTGCGGATGGTTCTATTAAATGGTTGGACATGCATTCTTCAGTGCCGCGGATAGTATGTTCGCCTGATCGTTTAAACGTTTAATTTAGCATGCCAGGATTTAGTGAAAATCTTCTGAATGCTATAGTAACATGGTATATTTTTGTTTTCTCAGCAATAGGTAAAGTGGTTTAACTCTAATTTTTTTTTCATTTTAATATTAATACGTTCCTCGCCTACTGTTTGAGCCTCACAAGCAACGTCCTATCATGAACATCTGTATATTTTTGAAACTATAACTAATGCCGAGGCCCTCTCCCCTATACGTTAAATTTTTAGCTACCTTACAAATATGAAGATGTAGACATTGGCGACGATGTTTTCATAATTCCAAAATCTTATTAGAATTTCATGAATATTACTAAAAATATCCAAAGCATGCGTATATAATACTAAGAAATTCATGCACCCACAATTATACCCCGTCAGAGCAACTGACCAAAAATCAGCCATGCGAGCTTTGAGTACAGGCATAACTGTCAACTCAACCACACACTTTTGTGCATTTACACGGAGTAAATTGATGGATATACACGACATCAGGAAATCAATTTGACATGCATATAATTATATGCTCCTGGACAAAATGAAATTGATTATTCCGAAAAACAAAAATCGTGTTTCGGACGCAGAAAAGGAAATTCCGGAGTTGCGTGTGTAAAAGCATGGTTCGTCAGTGACACTCGGCGACGTATTGTGTTTGTGGTCGATTACATAGATGAAAGATGGGCAGGCAGCCATCAGTCCATGCAGCAAGTGTCGTGGCGTGTCCACGCATGACGTGTACATTTTGGGAAAATTTGAGGACAGGAAAATAATCTCTAGTTACACTTCCGATAATATGCATGCATTTAGTGTCGGTTACGAAGAAAATTTATTAAAAATAAGCA